AATATTTACATAGCAGGTAGGTATATAAAAAGGTATATAAAGACTTACATTATAGGTATTTATATATCATCCTCGCCTTCGGAGCTGTCGCTAGAGTCATCTCATCTAGAGGAATTACAACGGGATTTACAGGAGGCAAAACACAATATTCATTTTCTTTTTCAATAATATGCCTAGAAAACTGCTTCCATAGGTCTGTGGCAGCAATATGAGATACTGCATCTCTTATTGTGGCCAATAGCGATTCACTTAATTGAGGGGTCTGATTATGTTTTCTTACTTTTTTTTTAAAGCAGCCCAGACCAACTCAATCGGGTTAAAAATGCAGTAATAGGGAGGTAGACGTAATACTTCATGGCCATTTTGCTGAAGCAGATTGTCAACAACATACTCTTTTTCAAATTTTTGTCTTTTAATAAGATCCAATAATATGGCTTTGGTTGATTATTGTGGTATTTCCATTCCCTTATCCTTCATAAAATCAATAATGTCTTGTTTTTTTGTGCCTGTATTCGGAATTTTGTTTTTCTGTCGGGAATGGTATGGCGCATTGTCCATAATAATCACTGAATTTGGGGAAATGTTTGGTATTAACTGCTGCTCTATCCACTTTTCAAATAAGTCGGAGGTCATGTCCTCATGATAGTCGGCACATGATTCTTTGATATTTTTGGCAGATAACAGCAAGGCATTAGGTATAAATCCATTTTCACTGCCAGCATGGAGAATAATGATTCGTTTTCCACGGTTGCATGGTGCATTTAAAATGCACTTGTTGCTGTCGTCAACCCAGCCGTACTGCACAACATCATGGGTATCATACCACGTTTCATCCAGGTAAATCAGATTTCTTTTCTGCTCTCTATAGATTTTAACTTTGTGCAAAAATTCTTGGCGCAATTCAACGATTCGAGACGACTCCATAATCACCATTCTTTTATCTAATTTTTTGTATTGAAAACCACACAGTTTTACAATACAGTGCAGTGAGTCTAAGCATTTGTAATTATAAAAATCTTCAGGATAATCTTTTAATTTATTCCGTATCATTTCCAACGTGGGCACCAAATTTTCTTTATAAAATCCGTATATTATACGACGAATATCTTCCTGAAAACCCACGTCTATTCTTTTTAATTTTTGCCCTATGCGCTTTCTGTGGAAGGAATGGTTGACTACATCTCCCCTTTTTATAACCCGATAAATGGTAGACCGACTGATTTTTGTCAGGATACAAATTCTGCTTAAAATTTGATTTTGCGAGGAATCTTCGTTTTTCAGACAATCATACATATTTAGGATTACTCTTTGGGTCTGTTCCTCTAAATCTTTATGAAAGAATTCTGCCTGCACAGGTTCATCAACCATCTCCTCGTGGCTTGGAGCATTTTCCCAAGGTCTCCAAAGAGCCATATTCAGGACACACAAGAACAATCAACACAACAATTAAATCAACAAGTAAACTGAGTATTCAAAAGTCAAAAACACACAAACTAATAAAATCTATGAAAAAACACGGACAGACTAAAGAAAACACGTTTATTCACCGCTACACGGCACTGGCTAAACTGTTTCAATTTTCAGTAGCCACCTGCACTTGTTCGGAGCTCTGAAATACACGCTTTCTCATTGGCTATGTCCACGCATATGCGTGCTTTACTCCACGTGGACCGGTGAAACTGCCTTTGATCTTATACGGGGGATATTTGCTGCGAAATTTGGCGATTTTTGCAGCAACAGAGCGTGTTAAATATAGATATATAAAACGCATCCGGTATTTCACAGTGTTTCAAGTGACTTCAGATAAAGTATACATCATTTGCTTTACCAATGTTTCTGATCACTCTTTTCTGGCATATAAATACATCTATCATTGCACTTGATGTACCCAAGAAGCAAAGCCTGTGCATAGTATAGACTGATGAGTTAAATCTTCAACTATTATTATTCGTAAATTTGTATACATACATGTGAACTTAAAACTGGCATCATATACTAGCAATTTGATTTGATATTCAAATATTCACTCCCAAAAATTTAGTGACATCGTCTGCATACAATGTAGAATGCACTTGGCCATTGAACAGTTCATCCAGATCATTAATATACAGTATAAATAGAAGAGGCCCAAATGTAGATCCTTGGGGAACTGCCATATCACTATCGACGCCGGACTTGCTTTATTTCTGTATCATAATTGTGTAATAAAGTACCATACAGTAACCCGTTTTCCAAAAAGATTTGATCCATGTGAGGGAACTGTCAGTAATTCTGTAACTACGTAGTGTTTTAACGTATCTTCAAGTGGAAAAAGGTTAATTCAATGCCTGAAGGTGACCAATGAAAATGGGGGGTTGAACATCATAACGCCATCTATGATACAGTGGCAGAACCAAATTGAAATGACAGCATAATGTGCGTCTTGATTTGGTAAATGTTGAGTCAGTGATTTATGTCGCATCCACAGTATATGCCTTCACATTTCTATATATATACATGAATTCAGTAGGGTGATCTTTTTAATAAATATCGATATGAAAAAGATTTTTTTTTACCCATCTCAGTACACAAACAAAATGGTTATCATTAAGTAAACACTTTAAACAGCAATATTTTAATTGTTAGGTCACGCAAAATGGTTGAGATTGAAGTCGTTTAATAGAACTGTGCTTAGTTACATGGTTTATGGTGCGAATTTCGAAATATTTAACTGTTGATAATTACGGAATTTTTATCGCACGCGTATGGATTAGATTTTGTTGGTTCTTTGGTCATAAAAGCTAGGATCATGTTTGTAGCTAGGAAACATATAGTAAGGAAACAGTGATTTACAGTTTTGGTAAATATTTATATTCGTATAAAACATTCACGATATTTGAGGGAAAATTCGCTCTCCGTTTTGTGTATTTCTCAAGTTGTTTTACAAGAATTGATTTTTGTCAAACCTCGTTGATACATATATTTTTTTGGTAGCTGTGATAATAAAAGTTCCATTTTGTATTGTTTCTCAAAATCCGGTATTTCTCAGAATAAAAAACAATAAATATCAGAATATATATTGCTTTTTCAATTTCCATTAAAAGAAAATTTACAGAAATCTTAAAAAGCTGGTTATATGAAACATAAAGGGTATTTTGAAGCATTAACTCAAAATTGAAAGAAAATCTACGATTTAGTTTTGAAAATATTCGCTTTCTGTAGGAGGTGTTATGAGCCTGTTTGAGATGAACCATTTAATTGCTTCGTTATACATCCTCGTAGCCAACATTTTAATAAGAGCGACCTGTGTCGAATAAATCCTTCATAAATTTATGATAAGGGTTACGTTCTAAATGCAGAGTCCACCTACTTAACGCCATTTTTACACCGCAGGTGAGAAAATACTATGAAAATCGAGGAGGCCATGAAGGCGTCTTACACTTGTAGGAACGACTGACGATACGGCCCTAAATCGCATCAAAATTTAATACATATATACATAAATATAACTTGAAACGTGGTCATTGTCGTCTAAACCAGTTAGGTGAAAAATTAAAGCTTCCGCCTTTTGTTGGGTACTTCGACAAAATTTAAGCAAAGAGGACTCTTTATACTTTTTTAATTCTCTCTAGCTTTCAATGGACTTTGCCATCATCATCAGGAGCTGCAATTACAATGATAACAGTAGCAACAAAAGTGTAAAATGAATTTAAATTGACAACAGGGCATTCTATGAATTACACAAGTATCAAAGTTCTTGATAAAGAAAAACACCTTTCCAAACGTTTATTCCTGGAAATGTCCCACATTTTCATGAATAACAACTGTATCAACAAAAAGACAGATATTAAACAACTGAGTGTCATTGACTCATATTTGCTAAACTGCGAAAAATTAGAGAACTTACATATCTCCCCAAATTTCGACTTTTCACAACCATAAATATAATCTGTGTTTTGGCCGATTCCACCAACAAATTTCATTCCACTCAAAATCTAATAATTCTCTTCTCACGATTTATTAATAATTGTTAATTTAAAATTCCCATTAATTTAAATATAGTTTATTCAACTGCCTCTGGTCGGTTTAACAATTTCTTACATAACATTCTGAAAATCACATCATCTGAAGTGATTTGGCAACGTTTTGGCACACGCCCACAATTCGTTCCATCTTTCAACACAGACATTGACAACCTTCGGCCTTCTGTCAAAGGTTCATCTCACTCATTATTCCATGACCACCATTTTGTGCAATCATCAAGTGGCTTCACGACGTAATGCTCAAATGTTTTCTAAATAATTTTTAATCTGTCTTTAACTTGTCTTATCATATTTTATATAATTTTGACCATTGTAACCATGTATCCAGCTCTCACCATGTTACTGGACGTTTCCCTCATCCTATACGTAAACAACAATTAGCAACATCCTCACATACTACTGTAAGTTGAGTCAATTTAAATTCATTTTACACTTTTGTTGCTACTGTTATCATTGTAATTGCAGCTCCTGATGATGATGGCAAAGTCCATTGAAAGCTAGAGAGAATTAAAAAAAGTATGAAGAGTCCTCTTTGCTTAAATTTTGTCGAAGTACCCAACAAAAGGCGGAAGCTTTAATTTTTCACCTATATATATATATATATCATAAGGTGTACTTTAACCCTCCGGTCTCGAGACCACACTGCCCCCTTTCTAGGTAAATTCTACAGAAACCATTAGAAAAGGACGTAAACCCTGTTTGTCTGAAAATTCCTTATCTAATGATGTTATTGATAATCCGTAATTTATATACACAAACAACATGAAGTTAGTGACCAGTCCGCTGTAGACTCCACAGCAGATATAATTTTAGGCTTCAACCTAATCCTGAAGATGTTAACATTGTCAAGTGGTAAAACTGTGTAGTGGACCCGAAATAACCCGGTATCGCAAATCTTCCGTAGTAGATGCCGTCTTGTCCATCTATTTTTAAGATCTTTTTGAAATGGAAATAACGAAATTCATTTCCGTTATGCAGAGCGTGTCCGGAGACTTGGCAAATAGAGAATCGCTGATCCAGGAACTGAAGACCAGCGCACAGCCTTTGGCGGAGAGTTGCTCTCCAGAGGTTTCTGCGAAGGTGGAAGCTGCCGTCAAGGAGGCGGTTACTGCGTACGAAAACACCAAGGAGAATCTGACGCAGTTATGTGGAAGGTAGGATTCGCTATTTATCTGATGTTATAAGAGCTTAGGGTTTTTTAACAAAATGATGTTTTTGAAACGGTGAGAGATACGAAGTCGCCTAATTGGGGGTAAAGTTGCGTATTTAGCTAATTTCCAAAATGCCGCTTAGATAGTTTCGAAATTCAAAGTACTTGCGGAGAGAGACCGAAAAAACTGAGATTTCCCAAAATCATTTTAATGTTTTTCTGACTTTATTTGTCTATTTGCCTGCTCAAGATGGCATAATTAGAATTTCAATATGACGTTTCGTTTCTTGCCCTCCAGCATCAACTTTATTTTTTCTTATGTACGCCATATTGGATTTCAGGTGAATAGTGTTTTAGGGCCGTTCAAGTATTACGTAAGTAGATTTATTACAATTATTTACCCTCCCATCCCCCTTGTCAGCAAAAGTAAGCAAAGCTCTTACCCCCTCCCCCCATGCTTACGTAAACATTTGTCAATTAATGTATTGTTTTTTTTTTTAATATTATAATTATAACGTTATAATTATAATTTGAAAAATAAGAAAATAGATTTAGGATAGACATTATATTTTACTGATACGGTATTCAGCATACAGTAAAGGACAAAAATATTATATCTTACTAACATAACAAACTTATTTTAAATTTTTGGTACATATATTAAATTCAGGTTAACAGTCTTCAGTCCATGAAACCCGAATCCATGATTCTAAGTTTTCGATGACATTGGTTTGCTTCGATTGCTGCTCAGTGTTGTGAGTTTGCTCGCTTTCATCGTATTTTGGAATGTCTACGTCGTTCTCATCGAGCCATTCAACATCATGGTGCTCTAAATTTTGAATAATGCACATCAGTTCATTAGCACGACGAGCAGCGACTCTTACAGGTCTAACTTTCAGTGTGCGACTAATGTCAAATCCTATTTTACGTAATTCTTGTGTGAGTTCATCAAGAGTTTTTACGCTGCGAATTGATTCCGTTCGTCTGTCATCTGCTGCACTCCCAAATAAAACTATATTCGCGATTGTTTTCAATAGTGAATGTTGATTGCTTTCAAGATTAGGAGATCCCACTGAATCCTTCAGAGATAGTCTTTTTTTTATTTCTGGATTTTCATGACAAATATCTTCTAACTTTCTTTTCATACCATCCCTGTGTTTCTTCTGGGCAACTGCGTTTTGAACCTTCCTGTTTAAAGACTGTTTTGCTGTTTTTATTTCCTCGCGCAACTTAATGATCTGTTTATCAACTTCAGCACGGCTTGGCATAGTATCCCTGGCAGAATACAAAGCATTCAGATTTTTTTTTCGAGTAGAGCAATCTTATTTTTCATAGCTTCCTGAGAAGGTTTTGCTCACTGTTTATCTGTATTTTCATTAATTTCGCATTGCTGTTGTGATTCATTACCGGGTTTTATTTTATCTTCTTCCTCTTTTTTAATATTTGGAGCTGACTGTATAATTTGTGTTTTTTCTGCAGGTTTACAGGTTGCCTAAAAATAAAAACTGTCTATGGCTTCTGCTAAAGATTCTCTTATTAAGCTACATAAATACAAAGTATGGCAATATATATGGTAAATACAAAACCCTATGGCTTTAAATCTAATATGTTTAAACGAGCAATTCGTTCCGGTCACAAAATACAGGGTGTTAGTTTTCTGTATATATGTATCAAACTAACATCCTGTACTTTGTGACCAATTGACGGAATCAATCATAAGAAATAAATCTATAATATAATGAATATTACCTCTATACTTTGAGATAGGCCATAATATTTTATAATCAGTAAAGAGAAACTTTTTGGCGATTTCTAATATTTCTAGTACTCATAGGTACGTAAAATGATTTCGTCACTCACCTTAGAAAAAAAAATTAGTAGGTTAGATTTATTCTTAGCCGCCGCTTACAATTCTTCTTCGATTCTCTTAGATACAATAATATCTAGTTCTTTGTCGCATTTTGCTTGTAATTTGTAATCTCGCCACACTTCGTTAACTTTGTATATTTTGTACTTTCGTACTTGTATGAGATTTTTTAAAACTTTCAAACAATTTTTGGTATAACTTGGATTTGTCTATGTGAAACTACATCTTATTTAAACATTAAACTTTGTCTAATGGAATCAATGGTAACACAAATGTTAACTTGCTTTACTATGCTTTGAATACGTCTACTCGCTATACATATAATATCCAAACGATAGAGGAAATTTAGACAAGTGAACACCGCGCGCTGTTCACTAAACGTATGCATTATTTGCGGGAATCCCCGAAAATGCGTTTCGCTTTCAAGCAAAGACAATGTGAGGGTTGCCATTCGTGCAAAAAAGTAAATAACTACCGATGACGTAATCATCATCTAGTCTCCCCTACCCCCCATGTCATCCAAAATAAGTAATACTTGAACGGCCCCTTTTAATCTGATTCCAAAAATGTATATAATGACTTTACAAAACCTTGGTTATTCAAAAAAGAAAAAGGATTACCTAGGTAAGCCTTGAAATTATCAGATACTCATTTGTTTCTTATACCAGATTTATCGCCAAATCGTTTTTATTTTTTCCTGACTTTACTCGAGTTGGGATTTCAAAATAAATAAAACAAAATAAACGAAATTTCAAGATGGCGTAGTCAAATTTTCAAAACGATGTATCTTTTTCCGACTTCCATCAGCGGCTTTGTTACGTCATATGGAAGCTATATTGGAATTTTGTACATTTAAATGGAGTTTTGCAGTCCTGAATAGGGATGGCAAATTTTATACATATATCGATATATCGAATCATTCGATATATCGAAACAATGTATCGATATATCGGATAGAATATATCGATATTTTTGAATGTATGTTATATACTATATACGATGCGTTCATTGAATTTTATTTGACATTGAAAACTCGTAAAAGGCTAAAAATATAAGTATTTCCCTACTTTTCATATTCAACAAAAAGCATTTTTGAATGCTAAAAATGCATTTATAAATGCAACAAGCATTATTAAATGCCATTTTCAAATAACGTTGATTCAAACTATCAAACAAGAACAGCCCCCAGAACAAGAAATACGTACAATTCCAATCCAATCCCACAATATTATTCCCAATCGACCTCAGAGTTTCTGTTAGAATGTTGGAGTTTAGAAAAAGAAACAAAGAAAAAAACAGTAGTAGAGATTTTTTCGCGAGATCCCGTATTAAACCGGAGCGGGAACAGATGGAATTTCCCCTTCCTCTCGAAGTTTTGACAGTTTCAAGTTACAACGGGAGTGGTTAGATGGCGCAAGTTGCCCAAAATGTTTGCTTTAAGCACCTTGATAAACTTAGCAGAATTGTTTGAATCTGAAATGGAAAGACCGATCGTTTTATGTGCAATGTACATATATATGAATAAAAACAGTCATTTGATATGACAAGTGCGGTTCACATATCTTCGATGACCTTCTCCCTCGTCATTTAAAATCAGGTGGACCTGTTCCTCCATTTATGATTTAATAATGTAACTCAATTTTCGGCACTGCGAAGACAAATTTTCAATTGAGATGCCCGTTTTTTAAATGAAATTGACATAAGACCTGTCACCCGCTAGTACCTCACAGACGTTAGGCGGGTACCCGTACCACGTGATTTTTTTAAAATTGGGACGACGTCACATCTGTCTTCCCCTATTCCCGTTCTTCGCGAAAATTTGAGTATCGATTCCCGGTAGTGCACTGTGCTACACCGTGGACTCGCGAAAAAATCCTTATTGAAAATGTTGACACTGACTTTTGACACTAAAGGTATGACACATGACAGCCGCATTTGGCGTACCGCGTAACAAACAACAAATCGAGCCTATTTGATTTGAATCATTGACATATCATGGAAGTACTGATAAGATAAAGGAACATGAAAAAAAAAAACGATTTATTGAATGAAAATATCGATATTTACCGATATACTGAAACAAATATATATTATAATATATCGATATATTTTTAAAAAATATCGATTATAATATATCGATATACAGGGTGACTTCGAAGTTGAGTCATTTATTTTAACAGTGAGTAGATCTGATCAAAAGAAATGTTTTTTGCGTTTACCATTTTTCTGGTAAAATTAAAGTAACAAAGTTATAGCCCTTTGGAGGTTTGAGTACCGCCCTGTCTCAATGATAATATTATGTGCTCGTGTTTGTCAACAACGGATATAATCCGCCTTATCGGTTCATCGCATCGGAAACAAAAAAGCGAAAGAATTTGGAACGATGTTTTTACAATTATTTTATTCAGTTGTGTTGTATACAGTCAGTGTCAGTCGGTAACACGTCAGTGAATAGTAGTGTCTGTTGCGTGGCTCAAACGAAATAAAAAATGGCACATGTTTATGCGGATCGGTTTCCCAATCGAGTGCAACCAACCCCTCGTGCCTTTGTTAATGTAGTACAACGGGCTCGTGAATCAGGTGACTTAAGACGGCATTCCGGTGCTCCAAGACCTCGCGATCAAATACAGGTCCGCACTGAAATACTTGTTGGGAGGATACTTTATAAAACAAGGTAAAAATTTTTTTTATTTTTTTTTTATTTTTACACACATATTTTGGTTTATCTTCCTTCTACAATCATTATCTGAAAATTAATGACTCAACTTCAAAGTCACCCTGTATTTTTAAAAAATATCGATATATAAAAATAATCGAAATATCGTTGCCATCCCTAGTCCTGAAGCACCCCCCAAAACATGTTCTTCGATAATACTGAAAAGTCTTCCACAACTAGCTGAAATTAATTGTTCTTTTTGGGGGAATCGATAGTCTTGCCATTTGTATAAAAACCTCCATAACGCCGCATCCCAAAATTTTGAGTCGGTCGTAGTTTTTGTTTGCATTTTTCGAAAAGCATCGAGTCGACCTACTGGACACCATATTTTCCATTGCAGATACAAAAAGGCGGCAGAGCTGTGGAAACGTTATCGCGAGGCTGCAGATGTCATGAAAGAATGGGTTGAAGAAGTCGGACAAGTCGGCGACATGGAACCTGAAGAAGCTTTGGAGAAAGTCAAGGTAGGAAATTTTTTATTGCAAGCTTTTATTTAAGTTTACTTGTTTTTAGTTAGTGTGTGTGGGAAAAACCTTGACACTGAATTTCATCCTAACCAATTGAGCTGAAATTTTGTATACCCGTTTGATTCGCGCGAAAATACACAATGAATTAATTGCCGCCATTTTGAATCAAATATGGCGGATGCAAAAAAATTGCGATTGATCATTTTCTTGATAACCCTTATAATATGGGCATCATATGAAAGGGCTTGATGAGATAAACACAATAAGAAAAGTAACATCATTATAAATCCAATATGGCGACCGCCCCAAGATGGCGGTTATAATTTCCATAGTCACCCCAATGATATACGAGGTCTGTAAATTTTTCTATGATTTCGAAACTTTGGTTATGAAAAACAAATTTCTTCTGAGGTATAAGCATGAGATTAAACGGCACTTTAGAATCCACAGATAAATTTAAAATGCTGGGTGTTAAATTTGAGAAAATTTGAAATTATTCAAAATTATAGTTATTTACTTAACAAGTGCGGAAAATTATACTTTTCCGCCCGCGACGGCAGTTGCAAGGCGTCAAGGGCGGAAAATACACATTCAGTCTCATTAGTTGATTTACGGTCTATCGAAATTTTATGATACAGATAAAGTAAAAAGATTTACGGAGCCCTGTTAATAAAATATATGAAAATTATATTGAAATTATCAAATTAGTTATTTGAGATCAAAAAAATAAAAAATACGTTTTAAAAAACAAGCTTATATTCAATAAAACTGTTAATAAAACGAACTGAAAATTTATTTTTTTCCCGATTGAATACGAGCCCCTTCCCACTTCAGTTGGCCCACTTCAAGATTTGTACCAAAATATGCCTTTATAAACTAAACATGACGAAACTATTTACATCTAAAACCTCGTATGTACCACGAAACGTCAGCATTATTGTCAGGCTGGAAAGCGCTGTAAGTAAAGCGAAATTCTCGAATACTGTTATTCTTAAAATACGACGCGCGCTTACCGCACATAACTTCCGTTTGAAATCCAAATATGCCGACTATTTATAAATTACAAATAGGCCACTACAACATTCTTGCAACGAGCTGCAAAATATCTATAAAATAGACAAAAGCAGTAGATGTGTGTCGCTTGAAAATAGGCTTTATATTGTAGTTCACGATCCTGTGTCTAGTATTTATAAGTTTTATTGAAATGGATAAAAAACGACGCCTTAAAATAATTAGGGATTCTTATGCAGTGATTTTCAGAACCCCCCTACTTATTTTTAGAACAGATCTAGTTAGGAATTATAAAATTGACTCATGAAATACGATATTTTAATGTGAGAATGACAATTGAAAATTTGAAGAGGGTACCGATTCTTAAACCAAACCTTTTTCAATGATTTTCTTTTGTCAAATTTCATAGTTTATTGATTGTAGAATTTCTCACATATTAAATATGCGGCTCTCAGCGACCCAACATTGTATTGAAATCTTTTGGACACAAATGTTATAGTATTATTAACGACGATCTTAGAAATTTCCTCATAAATATTGTTGGTCCCTCGTAGACAGATTTGTTTCTGCCTACAATCTGTCCATCGACAACCAGCGCGCCATCTTATGATGTTTATACGTACTAGCCATATATGAACGTTTATACTTTATCTGAAGTCACTTGAAATAGCATAAAAACCTTTGGTCGGCGCGTCCTTTGTAATTTCATGACGTATCATAGGCGTGCGGTCATTTATTTAGAACGATAATAATAATGTTTTTATATCACAATAAATGGATTTTACTATCTTCTTATTTTTTTGATTTGGGATAAAAAATACTTATATTGGGAGTTTAATTTATGTTGACTGAAAGTTAAGAAATGGAAAAATTACAGAATTCCAACGTTTGACATAGGCAAATATTTACATAGCAGGTAGGTATATAAAAAGGTATATAAAGACTTACATTATAGGTATTTATATATCATCCTCGCCTTCGGAGCTGTCGCTAGAGTCATCTTGTAAAGGAATTACAACGGGATTTACAGGAGGCAAAACACAATATTCATTTTCTTTTTCAATAATATGCCTAGAACACTGCTTCCATAGGTCTGTGGCAGCAATATGAGATACTGCATCTCTTATTGTGGCCAATAGCGATTCACTTAATTGAGGGGTCTGATTATGTTTTCTTACTTTTTTTTTAAAGCAGCCCAGACCAACTCAATCGGGTTAAAAATGCAGTAATAGGGAGGTAGACGTAATACTTCATGGCCATTTTGCTGAAGCAGATTGTCAACAACATACTCTTTTTCAAATTTTTGTCTTTTAATAAGATCCATTAATATGGCTTTGGTTGATTTTTGTGGTATTTCCATTCCCTTATTTCCCTTATCCTTCATAAAATCAATAATGTCTTGTTTTTTTGTGCCTGTATTTGGAATTTTGTTTTTCTGTCGGGAATGGTAAGGCGCATTGTCCATAATAATCACTGAATTTGGGGAAATGTTTGGTATTAACTGCTGCTCTATCCACTTTTCAAATAAGTTGGAGGTCATGTCCTCATGATAGTCGGCACATGATTCTTTGATATTTTTGGCAGATAACAGCAAGGCATTAGGTATAAATCCATTTCCACTGCCAGCATGGAGAATAATGATTCGTTTTCCACGGTTGCATGGTACATTTAAAATACACTTGTTGCTGTCGTCAACCCAGCCGTACTGCACAACATCATGGGTATCATACCACGTTTCATCCAGGTAAATCAGATTTCTTTTCTGCTCTCTATAGATTTTAACTTTGTGCAAAAATTCTTGGAACAATTCAACGATTCGAGACGACTCCATAATCACCATTCTTTTATCTAATTTTTTGTATTGAAAACCACACAGTTTTACAATACAGTGCAGTGAGTATAAGCATTTGTAATTATAAAAATCTTCAGGATAATCTTTTAATTTATCCCGTATCATTTCCAACGTGGGCACCAAATTTTCTTTATAAAATCCGTATATTATACGACCAATATCTTCCTGAAAACCCACGTCTATTCTTTTTAATTTTTGCCCTATGCGCTCTCTGTGGAAGGAAAGGTTGACTACATCTCCCCTTTTTATAACCCGATAAATGGTAGACCGACTGATTTTTGTCAGGATACAAATTCTGTTTAAAATTTGATTTTGCGAGGAATCTAGATTTTCGTTTTTCAGACAATCATACATATTTAGGATTACTCTTTGGGTCTGTTCCTCTAAATCTTTATGAAAGAATTCTGCCTGCACAGGTTCATCAACCATCTCCTCGTGGCTTGGAGCATTTTCCCAAGGTCTCCAAAGAGCCATATTTAGGACAAACAAGAACAATCAACACAACAATTAAATCAACAAGTAAACTGAGTATTCAAAAGTCAAAAACACACAAACTAATAAAATCTATGAAAAAACACGGACAGACTAAAGAAAACACGTTTATTCACCGCTACACGGCACTGGCTAAACTGTTTCAATTTTCAGTAGCCACCTGCACTTGTTCGGAGCTCTGAAATACACGCTTTCTCATTGGCTATGTCCACGCATAGGCGTGCTTTACTCCACGTGGACCGGTGAAACTGCCTTTGATCTTATACGGGGGATATTTGCTGCGAAATTTGGCGATTTTTGCAGCAACAGAGCGTGTTAAATATAACGTAGATATATAGAACGCACCCGGTATTTCACAGTGTTTCAAGTGACTTCAGATAAAGTATACCTTCCTATCAAGATACCTTCTTTACCGGCTTTTATCTGTTCGTTCTCTCAAGCCACACGCAATTAAATTTTTATAAAAATTAATTATGACAAAATTGTTCTCGTTAAGCCGATCCAATACGTATTACATGAAATTTATAATGTAACTACTAGGATAACTTAAACCTAAAACCTTCCCCTATAAGACTCCGAAGAGCATTTGAAGATTAGTCTATTTTAATTTTTAACTTTGTTTGGTACGCCACTTTTGATTTTCGCTGACTTATTTGCACGAATTCAATCTTTCAGCGACACACCCTGTATATGTATTAAAACGAAACCGAATGAACGTTAGTCAATCATTGTTGAGGAACGTAAACCCTGGAGCGAAAATGTAAATAGACATTTATAATCGTGTAAGCTACTTTGGACTTGTAAATAAAGCAACGTTATAAATAGGTTCGTTCTATCTTTAACACAATTCTCATAAATCTTGAGGAAAAAATAAATTTTCGGGGTGATGTGTCTCACCTTGGTATAGGTTGTGAGATAAATGGATTTTATTTTAAAATGGCTTAACAGAAAATATTTTTTTGAGCATGCTCTAAAATGAAGAAAATTGATGTATCATACATAAAATTTTTTTTCGAAAATTGATTCACTAAAGTTTGATTGAATTTGAGTAAAACAAATAAGATTTCCAAAAATTCAAAAGCAATCATCATTTTTCAGAACTCTGGATCAAACGAATATTAAGAAACTTCTAACAGGTTTCAAAATGCAGATATTTATGTGATTTTTCAAATTCTGTCCTATAACTCTCGAATAATTAAAATCGGTAACCATTTTTTTGAATTATTGAAACTTTCCATTAGCTACTACAACAAAGAGCTGTCGCGCAACGCGTAACGAACATTTTTGCTACTTTGCTAGTCAGAAAATATTTTTTTAATACTTTCTGAAATGAACAACATTGATGTGTCATTCGTGAGGCCCACATTTCTCACCCCTCAGAAAATTTTCGCAAGTTGATTCACTGAATGGATTTGAGTTATTTTGAATGAAAAATTAAGATTTCCAAAAATTCTAAATGAACCATCATTTTTCAGAACTGCAGATCAAACGAATATTAAGAAAATTCAAAAAGCTTTCAAAATGCAGCTATTTATGTGATTTTTCATACTTTGTCCTGTAACTCTCGAATAATTAAAATCTGTAATCATTTTTTTGAATTATTGAAACTGTCTATTAGCTAATACGACAATGATGAAATGAA